AATTGCATGTAACATTATTTTTTCCCTAAAAGTCTTTTTTGAGAGACCTACTGGTATGATTGAGATAGCGTAATAGCTTTGAGAAGTAAGGTTTACATTCTTTACAATATTGGAGTTTAGAAACAATGCAGTTAAACATCATTGCTGGGGCTCTGTATTACCCATACTCAGGCAGACAGAAAATACCTTCCTCAGAATGAGGCGAAGTAATGTGTGTGTCAGTCAGGAGGGTGGCTAAGCTTTGTCAGCATCAAGAACAACTTTTCCATTACAAATTGATTCAACTTTCTCTCCACTAAAAAGCCATAAGACTGAGCCTGGAGAACATTTCCTTAGCCTCTATCTTTTGAAAACTTAAAATGCATTCATATTACCTTAATTATCTTCCAAACACCTTCCAGAGATATTTTGTGCCTTATCCTTGTTAGATAATTAACAAGCACTGAAATTTGCCCAGGACCCCTGTTTCTTGTCAGCTACTGGGTTGGCACATGCTTTTGAAAATGTCATGGTTGGTGATGTACTTACCTCATACTGGGGGCATGTTCACATGAAATTAAGGCGAAGCAATAAAGTCTAGAGCTATTTGAGCCAGGCATACACATGTGCCCAGGACATGAGCATCTATACATGTGCCTGGGACAGCAGCAATACAAGCTGGGGCAGAGCAAGCTGGGCTGACAGGGTGTACACTGGGGCTACAGGTGGTGGCATCAAGTGGCTGGGGGGGCAGGGGCAGGGGTGGCTGGGGCACAGGAAGCCATGCAGCGAGGCAGCAGGCAAGAAGTCTGGCTCCTATCCAATCATCATCTTCATGTGTGTTTCAGTGCAGTAAATGACCCCATCATAAGATACTACTGTCTTAGTTTACTGTGTACTGTCAATTAGTTTACTGTACTCCAATACAGGTATACATATGGACCATGATGCTTTACTGTGGAGCTAATTAGTTTACTCAGCAGTAAAGCACATGTGTAGATGTACTCACTAGGGACTCCTATAGACATGCGGGGAGCCTGCTCCAACACACCGGATTTCCAGTGCGTCGGAGCAGACTCAATTAATAAAGTCTGCTGGAGCACAGAAATCGATGCACTCCAGCAGCCTTCCACATCATGTTTATCAGCACCCTTGCATGTCCCCACACTGAAAAAATGGCAGTGGAGCACTTTGAAATAAAACACGTTAAATGAGCTTTAGTTCAAAGTGCTCCACCACCATTTTTTTGGTATGGAGTTCCATGGGGATGCTGATTCACATCACGCATAGGGACTTTTAATTAGCGAGCTGCACTAATTAAATCACCCGGTGTCCAAAAACACATCCAAAAATGTCACTAGGTGCTTGATGTGCTGAAGGAAACCTTTTATACTGCACATTCTGAACATAAGTTAGAGGACCAAGTAAGCAGAGTCAACTTGCTACCTACCCTCTTGAAATTACCAGGTAAGGAAAGGCCAATGAAAAATACAGGCTAAAGGATTTTGGTGTTCTGGGAAACAGTCTCAGCCAATATATATGTGAAATTACACAAACATTACTTTTGCGTGATCTTGTCAGAAATTTGGAAAGACCTTCTTTATACTCACATTCTAGTGGGAAAAAATGAGATGGACAGCAGAGAGGAGTAATGAGTACTTGTTCTTCATGTGGAAAATAAACTATTATTTTCTTCAAGTCTATTCTTAACCCACACCAAACAACAGCTCTTATTCTAGCTCTGGAACTACAGACACCCACTTGCATGGAGTGAAATCTCATACCTTTTTCCCTGTATGATGTTAGGGAGACAGAGACACATGCAGTCATAGTGCAGATTATAATCTCTTTCTTCCCAGCAAGTGCCCAACCTTTATTACAGTCCTCCTAGTACTGCCTCTTTAGTGGGTGTAAAGGACCAGAATGCTGTGATCACTGCACACCTTGTTTAAAAGCAACAAGCTTAGGTACACTTTTTTTTATGCAATATCCTAAAATTAGAGCTTTGATAACAAGTTAGACTTTTGCCACCCTAATTTTGGGGGTAGCTGAAGGACCTGAAAACCCAAAGTACTGCTATGCTTCTGTCCCCTGGATCTTTCATGACCACATGAGGTCAATAAATCTCTTCAAGAAGATGGCAGTACAGTTTGGATGTGAAGGCTTTGTGAACACAAGTTACAAACCTTTGTTCCTTACAGCTCGGAAAACTAGAATTGAACATTTGCTCTTGCCTAAGGGATAAGTAGCTGTATTTTCTCTGGATAATGTGAAAAATATTTTTTTCACACTATAAAATGTTCTCTTAGAGTGGATACACTATTGCTATATTGATCAGGATAAAAAGCAAGATAGGATTGTTAAGAAAATGTTAACAGAAATGAATGCTATGAAAAAATAAAAATACAAAAAACATATACTTGGGAAAGTAGTGTTGTATTTCTCATCTTCAGAACTAAATTAATGATTTTTTAACATAATATTCTTTACACAAAAGATTCACAAATCACTTTGTGAGAAGTAGCCTAAGGACCATTTATAGAGCTGTGAAACAACAACTCTTATTCAGGAAAATGAACACTGCCATATGGAGATATAAAAGAAAAATCAACTGAATTTTGAAAGTAGTAAATACGCAAATGTATACATACTTTAGGGACAAATTAATTCAATAGTTAATTATCCAGACATATTGGCAAGTTCAATATGAGGCCATAGTTTTCATGTTATGTACATAATAGTCTAATATTTGTTTATTTGGCCCATTTGCAGCTAAAAGAAAGAAACTCTGATAGCATTTATGTCCTGCTATTGAGGTATTTCTCAAATGCACATATCCAAAAGGTATGTGTCTGTTCTCTACAATGTTTCAGATTCATTATTGGATAATATTTTCAAAACTGCATGAACAATTTAAGAGTCCAAATCCTATTTTCAGAATCCTACACTAGAACTGTTTTACCAGTACAGCTATGCCAGTTGGCAATGTAAATGTTTATCAGTCACTCTTCAGGTATTTGAAGACTGTTATAAAATCCTGTCTAAGCCTTCTTTTTTCAGGACTAAAGAAGCTTCTTCTGCCAGCATTTCATCTTAAGTCTTGCTTCCCAAACTCCTAATGATTTTTTTCACTGTCTGCTGGACTGTTTCCAATATGTCCACATCTTTCTTGAAGTAGAGGGTCACAAACTGGATGCAGTCCTCCAGGTGAGGTCGCACCAGTGTTGAAAAGAGTAGAAGAATCACATACTTTTACTTGTAATTGACACTCCCATTAATACAGCACAGTCTACTATTGGCCTTTTTTAGCAACAAGAGCATGCTGTTGGCTTATATTCAGCTTATGGTCCACTGTAACATCGGACCTATGGGTTGTAGGTTGCCAACCCCTTCTCTAGGAGCGTCTGCAGTTCCATCCAACTTGCTACTATTTGCAAATGTATGAAATGTGAACTCAACCCTCCAAATCATTAAAGAAGATATGAAACAACACCAAGCCTAGGACCAACCGCTTTGGGACCCAACTTGAGATCTCATCTCAAATGGACACTGAGCTATGGATGGCCACTTGTTGATCAAGTTGATCCAACCAGTTATGTAGCCACTTTACACTACCTTCATTTAATCTGTATTTCCTTAACTACTTATTAAGAATGCCACTTGTGCTGACATAAGCTCTGAAATGAGTGACTTTATGTCAGCAGTTTATTTTGCTTTCCAAACTGAAATACGTTATGTCTGTGTAAGCATTTTTGGCAGTATTATGAGACAGTTTGCTCCTTTAATAGTATAATTAAGGCCATTTTTTTTCAATGTAAATAAGAGGTAGTACAGTTTTGGAAAGAATAATGCATGCTTCAGAATTTTTTCCCAAAAACTAACAGGTCCCAACTATCTAATGGCATGGTGGTTTTGCTTACCTAGTAGTATTTTCTGTATGGATAGATGGATTGTACTTAAGCATTGGCTTCAACTGACACAAGCATTTATGTCAAGAGGACAGGGAGTAGAGGTGTAACAGGACAGCTAGGTGCCCAGGGCAGTGGCAGTACATGGGAACAGCAGTAAATTCCAGCTGTTGATGCCACCACCACAGAAATATGGCTGCAGCTGCAGCAGATATTATTTTTCGGACCCCACTGCACTTCCTCACCTTAAGCTGGTGCCTAGGGCTGCTGTCCCAGTTGCCCTGCCTTAGTTATGCTACTGTCACCTAACCAGAGTGTAGAGCATCTTTGTCAATAAAATCTTTTAAATCAAGTCTGAATTTCCACAAGTTGGAAATCACATGAAAGTTTTTGGTACTATAATTAATATGAAAAATAAAGAGACTGCCATCTTTCCCTAATTTACTACCCACAAGTCAAATACTCTAATATACTGAGAGTCATTTGCTTAAATAGGTGGTGAATGCAAGTTTAGTGCCTGCATAAGTACAGGTCTCATATGACATTGCCTACTTTCATGTTTCTCCTTATCTAAATACAGATGCAGCTTCTATCATCTGGTACAAGTGCCTCTCTAAAGATGTCTGCTCTGCCGCCTAACTGCAATGGGCGGGGGGGGGAGGGGGGAGGCACTGTGAGGCACAGACATCTGCTCCAAACACACCTCCACACACATTCTCCTCAAAAATGTGTAAGGTAGTAAGCAGTGCTAATCATGTGTCAAAAGCCACATTCAAGACAAAGAACTTGTGGAACTTCCTACGCACTACACCATGGATGGCTACATTTTTGCAAGGGAAGGGAGGGTAGAAGAGCACGCCATGTCAAGAGCAGGGCTAGTGTCTTTCATTATGGTGCTCCCAAGCGTGGTTAGGAAGTGGTATAAAAATGCCATTTTTCCCAGAGACCTCAGATTTGCTCTGTTTATTCTTTGTTATACCAGTAAAAACCTGATAAAAAATATTCAGCCATGGGCCTGCACTCTCTGCAAGGTGACGCAGTATTGTTTACACAGTTCTTTTTACCTTTTTTTGTTTCTTATTAAACCATAATTATTTTTAAAGCCTGACTTACCTTTCTTTTTGGTTGGAGGGTGGATTTCACCTAAAAAGGGAGGGAGAAAATTAAGGTAAAAATGAAAAATTAGAACAAGTTTGAAATGTAAAATAAAGCCTGATAAACTACCCTGATTGCTGTAGCCTTTGAAGCAGATCTAATGGTTTAGAATGACTTCCATATTTAAACTTGAAGAAAGCTTGTCTAATTTTATCCCAACTATACAGTTGGTGAAATAAAAGATGTCACCCAAAAAATCTCTGCCTCTCACAATTCCTGGACCATCACAGCTACAACATCACTGAAACATTACAGGTCCATACTTAAAAAATATTAGTTGTGCAAAATGCAACTAAGTATACTTTGCAAATAGTTAATTTTAAAATTATGCTTTTAATTCCACTGTTTTACTCTATACTGTAGAAGTTTCTGTACAATGTAGTAATGACATTGGTAGTTATTATGTTTGGGCTACTACTATAGAGTATGCTATTAAAACTTCTGAACTTTTTGTTGGGACTTGTGTCTAATAATATGTTATTTTCAGCATTCTTCTTTTTTTCATTTTTTTTCTACTGCACATTCCAAAAGATTATCCATCTTATTTTGCCCCATCAACAATTATCTTTGTATAAAAAGGCAGCAATACCAGTTTCAAGCTGCAGAAGCACAAGCATAAAGAGATGATGAATAGTTTCTCTTTTTATAGCTAGAAATTTTAGTAAAAAAGCAGAAAAAAAATACAGCTGTCAAATAAATGGATTTGTCTGTAAAGGTTTAACTAGTCCAGAAGAAAAAACAACATTATCAACTGTAACCATTGATCTAGAAAAATGAAAGCTAAAATGTACTAAGCATCTAAGACACCATTATTATACTTTTAAATAGCTTTCATGAAAATGCTGAGCAATTTTAGCATGCACTGAGTACACATTGTTAAATACTGCAAAGTCTTTTACAGAATATTTTTCACCATGTATATTGAAGATTACATTTTTTATTCTGGCCCAATATAAAACATTGAGTCTTTTCCAATTATTAAAGATAAATATGAGTGATAATGCTGGGGATGAAGGAATTCATTGTGGTAAAGAAAGTACTGTGATAAGCGTTTTTATCCTTTCTAGTGGCTACTAACACTGATATTAGCCCTGTCACATGTGCCACCTTCACTGTCATTATTTGTATCCCTATTATCTTTGCCTGCAATTTGCATCCCTAGCAAGGTTATCTTTGCTTTCTTCAAGCTCATAATTATCTTTACTCCTCTTCTTTTCTCCCCCCGCCCCCCCTTAATCATTGCCATGATATCCTTACCAGGCCCTTGAAGATCCTCTCAGTAAACAATTGTATTGTGGCATCAACTAAGTTGTACCCTGTTTTTTTAATCTTGGTATTTCCATGGTAGTGAAGATTTTATGCAAATTTTTAGCACTCAGAAAATAGGCTGGCTGATAAATCCCAAACCTGAAGCCCACTGCATACTCACAGAATTCTTCTGTTGTGAATTTTGCAAATAATGAAGATTCTGTTCTGCTCAGATTTTATATCCCCTTTATCACCATAGTTACTGTGACATAGCTCCTATGAGATGGATCCACTGTAACCTTAGACTCAATAAAGGAGGCTCCTGAGTGTTCAGCATTGAAGTTCCTAAGTCTTAGGAGACTGGTGCCCGCTACTATGCAGACATGTAGGTTCAGTGCCTGGGAAACAGTGGCTGGGAAAAGTAAGAAGCCTCAGCCTGGGATTCCCAACAAACAGCATGCTGAACAGGGAGCTGCCCAAAATGTCTGCACACTGGAGCTAGCCAAAATGAAGCGCTCAAGAGAACACTAAGTATGATGTTTTGTTTTCCCCCTACAATGGCTCATTCAGGGCTTCAGGAAAGCATTTCCAGCCCTTTAAGCTCCAAGGGCTGGGACTGTTTCCTGAAGAAAGGTGATTACATCCCTCCCCCCCACACAAATAAATGAGGAGGTCACTTTTCTTTTAAAATACAGTTCTAACAGCTTTACAGACTGTAGTGCCCCGCATTTTATGATAGCCGGTCTCTTCTAGGAAGGGAAACCATGGTTTAAGTCTTTCTTTTGTCTCTACAGGATTCAAATTCTCAGTTCCCACCCCCTAGGAGAATGCCCTAGTCATGGGTCTATAGGCCTAGATAACTAGTCTATAGGAGTAGATTACTTTCTGCAGCAGGATTTCAAAATACACTGAACATATTAAGATCTATGAATTTTTGGTGTAGTGGCAATAACATGCCCATGGGAGCAGGAAGTCCTGCATTTTTGTCTTTGGTTCCAGGATTGGTGTGTGTTATGTAAACTGATCCTTAGATAAAATAAAGAAACCATCCTAGGACAAGAATACAGAAATTCTCTGGAGTACCCAAAAGCAGAACATCCAGGCCCTGAGAAAATTTTAAGTCCGAACTGTGATGTCCATATTGCTGGATGGAGATGGCAACTGAACAGGGATTTTTATGGCTGTAACCTTAGACTCAAGTGGAATTTTAGCACCAAAGTAGCACTTAATTTGCTTAAATCCTGGGCCTGTTGTCTGTCATGTGCAGTTCATTGTCTCTTTCATTTTTTTCTTCAAGGGAGAAGTTTTTGTTCAAGGTTTTGGAGGTGGGGGGGTTGTTTTTGTTTTTGGGGTTTTTTTGAGGAAGGAAAGGGTTCTTTTTTTAGCTATATATGCTAAAGCATGCTTAGGTTAGGAAGGGTAGATCTAGAAGGTCACACGGGCACACCCCATTTTTATAGCATAGCTTGGTGGCTCTGGTTCCAGGTAGACTTGGATGATTGGGTCCCCTGAGGAGTCCAAACCACAGGAACAGTACCTGGGGACTGTTATTGAAAAGGTCCCTGGCTTTTCTGCTGCTCCTGCAGCATGATCTGACTGCCCTAGTGTCAAAGGGGGCTGAAAGCAGCTATCCCAGCAACTCTAGTTGCTATTTCCATACCCTGCTTTTCAACTTTCTGGATCCATCTATGTACGTAGAGAAGGCACAATTTAAGAATTCACCTTACATTCAAAGTGGAAGATCATGAGGTCTGTGAGAGTACTTAGCCCCTGTGGGTTTGTGCAGATGTTATACTTAAATGAACCTAGCCAGTGTTAGGTCAATCTAAGTGCTGATCTATACAGATGTTTAGCGTGGTTAGATCAGACAAAACATGCCCCTTCTCCCCCAAAGACCTGCCAGCCTTCCCCAATCCCCCCCCACAAAGATGTGCTAGTCTCCCCCCAGTCTTACCTTGATTTATATCAGGTTCCTGGCCTGGCTCCTGGCACCAGTGAATGTGTGCACACACTGATTGCATGGCATAAACATGTGCAATCGTAGATCAGGTATGGTCTTTACATATCCTGTAAGTCAGTTCTACTGTCTCAGACCACCCCTCAAGAAAGCTCTATCTGGTATAGAGATGAACTTCCCTTTCATTGAACCCAGGAAGTTTAACTGAGCCCAGGAAGCAGAGTTGCTGACCGTGTCCTTTTTCTCTCATGCTCTTTTAGATAGCAAGCACTGAGCCTCTTGAGGACAAAGTATCCCTTCAATAGTCCAGTGGTAACAGCAATCGCCTGGGAGATAGGTAGCACTGCTTCAAATTCCTGCTCCAAATCAGGCAGAGAAAGAAGGCTTTCAATTTGTGTTCCCTATGTCCTAAGTGGCTGTTCTAACCACAACTGCTCTACTATCAGAACAAGGGAGGGGGAAGGGATTAGGTGGGAAAGACTTGACCTGGTTTGGGACCTAACTCCAGAAAAGCTCACAGTCATGAATGCTAACAGGAATCTCCCCTGAAGCTCAGAATTGGACACTTGAGAGGGATGGAGTTTGTCCCCGAAGATCTAATGAGTTATAAGCTAGTTTAGGCACTTCTGTGCTTAATTTGCTGCCTTCTACAAATCAAATTTGCACCATACATTGTGTGGGGAATCAGCCCTTAGCATAAATTAATTGTTTAGCAGCACATCAAACTATGGACTGCATTGATTCAAGCTACATATTCACTACAAATTCTTCAAAATGCTTTCTTTTGCCCACTGGCCTAGGCTCTGTCTTGCTTATATTCATCTTCATTCATTTTCATCTATGAGTTGGGTTCTGTTTGTTGCAACAGAACCCAAACATTGACTTCTGTTTGCTGCAGTGATATTCAGGCAATATATGGTGAAGGATAAAGGGAAGATGTGTGTCAAAGCCTAATTTGCATCCTTTGAAAATCAGCAACAGAGGTAATAGGAGAAGAATAAGACCACTACACAGCACTTTTGAAAATCCTACTAACAAATCATATGGAAAGAAATTTCCCCACATTGCCTACTACTTTGCCTTTGTTTTGACATGAAGGGGCCACCATTACATATGAGTGGAAAGTCCTGTTCTGCAAGCCCATTCAGTCCTTGCCTTCTCTGCTGAGGCTGCTGAAAAAACTACCATCACTGGGGGGAAGAGAGGGTTGCTCCAATTAACTTAAGGAAACCTGGCCCTAAGTTTCTGTAATATGGACATTTGTCTATTAGGAACATGGTGATACCAAATTTCTATCTCTAGTAATGTAACTGGGCGGTAAGGGGGAAAGTGGGGCATCAGCCTTGGAAGCCGACTATGGGGGTGTGCAAGCATCACTGCTCCCCAGAAGACTTTGCCATGGCATGGCATGGGCAGCCCTGCACTGTTCCCAGCAGTGTATCTGTGGAGAGGTAGTCAAGTGGGGTGAGCAGAACAGTGCTCCCACCATGAGGGAGTCTCCACCACGGCAGAAGTAGCCCAGTACCCCAGCATTTCCCAACCAGTGTGCCATGGCATAAAAGTGTGCTGTCAGAAACGAACAGGTGTGCCACAGAATTTTGCCATGGGAATGAGTTACAATGGGTATTAGGATGGGGAATGTCTTAACTGGTGTGCTGCAGAAAAATTTTATTAATGTAAGTGTGCCTTGGGCTGGAAAAGGTTGGGAAACACTGCTGTACCCAACAGCATATTGGGGGATGGGGAAGCAAATGGAGCCTGAGGCACAGCTCCCAGGGAGCCTGCACCATGAGACTGCTGCTGCCTGAGATGACACTGCTACCATATCAGCCATGGCAGTGGCAGCAATAGCAGCAAAAGTATCAGCTGCCTTCAGTATACAGAGACCCCCGGCAAGTAAGACTTCCCTTCCCCTTCTGACTTATAAAGTGGTTGGGCATACCCCACCCCCACCGTGGGCACTAAAGGAATTCACCACACTTCTGCCTATCATGTAGTCAGAAGATGAAAACTTTTGTTATTAACATTAATGTGTGCTCAGCTAGGAAGAATGCACTAGAAATATAAAATGACTAATACCAGTATCCCAAGTCTTCCTTTCCTTGTAAAAGAAGGTGAATTTAAGTTTTAAGTTCCTGAATGCCAATATTCATATTTAGGGAGATTTATATTACAATTCTATATGTTTCATCCCTGTTCTCTATAAAAATCTTATACCAACTTAATCATTTTTTAAAAAAGAAATAGAAGCTTTAGGCTTCTAACATAACATAAGGCAAATGATGAATATTTTTATATAATAGCTGCTTCTTAAGGTGGGTCTGTTCTTCTGAGATGAGTATGTAACTCAAGCTGACATTAATCAGACTTACATAAACAGATATGGAAGATATTATATATACAGGCAACCCTCGCCATTCGCAGGGGATACATTCTTGTATCCCCCATGAATGGGGAAATCCGTGAATAAGACACTGCGTTCATGAACTCAGCGCCCTCAGCAGCTGCGGGGGAGGGCACGGCTGCTCTGGTGATGGCAAGAGTGCGGCAGCAGCAGTGGGAGCCCAGTGGCAATGGTGGGAGCCCAGCAGTGGCAAGCGCGGAGCTCCCGAGGACTTCCTTTAAGTGTATTTAAGAAGCAGGCTCAGCATTCACGAATATTTGAAACAGCAAATGACAAACCCATGAACAGTGAGGGTTTCCTGTATGTATATATACACACACATGCGCACACACATATATTACGATACTGTAGTAATGCTGTCAGTTTATTCAGATTTTTCAGATTTGCAGTATAATAATGAAAAAATTAAAACTTCTCCCCACAGCAACAACAAATGCTGCAAACTTATTTTAGTTTGTCCATTAAATAATTTTGATATAAATGCACGAATTGCTATTAATTGAATGACACATTATGAGAGACAGAAGCAGTTGAATAAGCTCAGTAATTTCTTCCTAACACATACATAATATATCAAAGCATTTATCCGTTATAAACATGCAAATAACACACCTTTTTTTTTCAATGGCGGTTCCACTTCACCTAAACCAAGACAGAAAAAATGATACTCAGATAACAAGTGGCATAATAAAGCACTGACAATATTTTTTCCCATGCAGATTTATTTTAATTTTCATATGCATTCAAACTTTATGTTTGTAACATACTGAATAACTAGAGCTCTTTTCTGAGATTTTGGGCTTATGCATTTCTGCTTCTGTGTAGACTTTCAAGAGGATACTATGAAAACTTTAAATGTTACCAAAACAAAACTTCCAAAATGTTCTTTACAGTCTTATTTGAAACACATAAACATGTACTGACACAAACTTTAGTTGTACACTTATTACCATATTAAAAATGGGCACAAGGATTCCGTTTTAATTAGCCACAAAGAATTGGTCCAGTTTTTAATTTCGAATCAACACTTGCAACATTCAGAAGGAAAAGAAGCCTAATAATACTTTCATACTTTCAGTGAAGTCAACAGCAAAAGTTCTATTGACTTCACTGTGAGCAGGAACAATCAACTACAGGGCTGATGATGCCTTAGCTCTATGTATGAAATGGCATTAAGCATAGCAAAGAAGAGTTCAGCACTACTCTCAACTAGAGTGTATAGAAGTCCTATGGGATGGAAGTTGCTCACACCAGAATTGTTCCATACACATGACATTTTAAAAGCTTAGGTGAGATGCAAAGTCCCTCTTGCAACTCTTAAGAGCTGCTGACTATGCTTCTGTCTGAGAAAATGGAAGCTGAGATGGCTGAGCATCTCCCAAGCCTCCTGTGAAAAAAAACAGAGTGAAAAAATTCACTAGTTAAGCAAAGGAGCAACATTATGTCCTTTTTGTTTCTTAGTGGCAATTGGCCTTACACTGGTTGTAAATCACATCTAAGAATAGAGTCCCCAAGTCAAAGGCAAACATATTGATACAGGTCTTAGTATCTATATTCAGTGGTAATGGGAAAGCCCATGAAATCTGTAAAGAGGGAAGGATCTAAAGAACAGCACTAAATATAAGCTGTGGTAGAAAATGGGAGCTACTTCTGGATTATAAATAAAGTAAGTGAACAATTCAGTTTCAATTCGTGTTAGATCTTAACCTTTTTGGTTGTGGTGAAATGCCATATGAAGCCTATGGATACGAAATGAAAACATCAGTGCTATGATCATTGTGCTTGATTTCAAGTAAGCATACAAAATGATAACTATAACATGAAGTAGCCATCCACCACTATTATACACACTTATACTGAAAATTGACTATGAAGAAACATGGCTCTTTTACAACTGTAAAATTAGACTTCATCTGCTGGATGTTTGGTTTTGCTTATTTGATGAGTCCGTCAGTTGATACATGCTAGCAAAATAGCAAAACCATAATTTTAAACAAACCAAACTAAGTTCCTCTTCTGTCCCATTAAAGAGCTAAATAGCCCCCTCCTCAAAAAGGGTTCTAAGCTGTCTCCTGTATTGCTTATATATTTTAACTCTGTTCTTCAGATGCTTCCATACTTACAGACTCAAGAGAAATGTTGTACTCTAATAGGTGCTGCATGCTGGTATGTGTTTCTATTGTGGCTTTGAAGTCTTTTATAAATTAGCATTCTTTACGTTGAGACACACTAATGGTAATATGTAATTCTGACATCTTCTCTGTAATAAGACATTAAATACAAGATGAAAGGTAACAGAGAGACCAATTTACTGATTGTTGTATGTGGTTGGTGCTGTATTAGTAAGAGTGTTCAGTTTTTGTTTTGTCCTACCTTTTTGACTATGAGTTTAAAAATTGAATAAACCAACATAATCCATGTAAAGCAGCAGTTAGAGCAGTTACACAAATCTGCATATCACAAATACCTTCATCACTGTCATCATCATCATTCCATATGATGTCAGTCAGAAAAGAAATAAAGCCATAGATCCAATCTGTGGATTCTTCCATAGTCTCATAAACGATTCGCAGTGGTTCTTTGCTGAGCTTGTTAACAGATTTTCCTGATGGTTAAAACAAAAGATATTTGAAGAGAGATTAATCCGGAGGTTAAAGTTATTCTGTTTTATTTGTTTATGTACAACACAAATTATGCTAATTTATTAAACAAAAGCGGAGCTCCTGAATATTAATGATTTTTGCTCAGAAGTTTAAAGTTGAAACTTTCCTTCCTGTGAAATGTTAGGTCATAAATAATTTTCAGGCAATGTGTGCAATTACCAGAGTGGCTCAGACCTTGGTAAAGAAGGGCCTTGTTACGCTTTACACTGTAAGCCACACAAATGTTGCTCAGTGTTAGTGCTACCTTCAGTTTGGTTGGAGCAGTCACACTTCAGGCTACCAGGGGCCTGGAGGACTGAAAAGGAAGAATCCCCACCCTCTTTGGGGCTTCCTCCCTCCCCCCAGGGGCTCCTCTGCTTCCCCCATCCTGTTCTTGGGACATCTTACCTGGCTTTGAGGTTCAGTATCAGGTGCTAATTCACATTTTAAATGCTCCAGGAGCTACCCCAAATTACCATGTAACAAGGCCCTAGCTCAGCCTCTTTACACTGTCACAAGTCATACCCCTCTTCTGGTGCCTTGGTGGTTTCAGAATAAATTTGGATTTGGTTCCACCAAATATTTGTCCTCTCAGTTTCTCTTCCTTTCAGCCCAAACCCTTGCTCAGACACAGACCCTAGGAGACAGACTTTTGTCTTCCCCGCAGTCTCCAGTCTATAGCCTTCCTCTCAAGTGCTTCAGTCTTAGAATAATCTGTTATTTTGTCTAATTCATTGCTGCATCTGTCCCAGACTTCACTTCATACATCCTCTCAAGGCTTCTGCCTTAGTCTGACACTGTTCAGGAAATTGCTGGGCCTTAGCAACAGTGTAGACACAGTGAATCATTCCCAGGGAGAGCACAGGAACAGATATATGTGCCTGTAATGAATGAATGAACATTTAGAAAATCCCAAATGTACATAGCTCCTGCATGTGTACACACACACACACACATACACACACACACACACACACACACACACAGAGGACTTATAACAGACTCTTATATTAAACTTTTCTATAGAGGATTTTTGTCCTTGGGAAGGTGGGATAGGAATTTACAAGATACTAGCAATTTCACATAATATTCTATTTGAGAAATGTTTGGCAGTCTAGAAGATAAACTTACCATGCCCACCAGCAGGGCCTCTAAATACATCACCCTGCCATGCACTCACTGCCACCCCTTTGTTTTCAACCAAAAGCAATGTTGCTGCATCTTTGAGATGGACAAAGTGGACTGAATGGCACTGTCACTTGCACCCACCCCACTACTGCCCAAATGCAATTAGACTGTGCCCAATCAGAAGGTTAACATGTGTGCAGAAGCATGTCATATTTGAGAGCAATGCTGTGTAGCAAAGTAAGTTTGTGGCACTAAGAACACACGTTGAACACCTGGGCTAGGGACAGAAGTTACACATAAACTGACTTAAGTGATCAGAAACTGGTTTAAACTTAGAAGTTAAGTGCACATAACCCAGTTTCAACATGGCTGAAACTGGTTTAAGATAAGTCTGATACTACATTCAACAAGGTTTAACTGATTTGGATCCAAACAATTTGTGAAACTTCTGTCCCAGACCCCTTCTTGGTTTAAGTTAAATCAGAGTCCCCCGGCATCCCAGCATGCTTTGTAACCCTGGGCTGAAATGTGCTGTCTGCTTCAGCAGAGAAGCGGTGGTTGGTGGGAGGCAGGGACTGCCCCCACAGGCAAACCCTGGCTGGGGTCTGGGGCCAGGGGCCAGGGAGGAGGGTTAAACCCATCTTCTCCTGAGTACAGAGCTGTTCTACCCCCTAACCTTACTGAAAGTTACTGTTGGCTGCAACTGTGGACTACAAATCCCAGAGGCACCTGGAAGTAGGAACAGAAAGTGATGAGCAACCCTGAAAGTAAATCATAGATGGGATTATTATGTCCATCTGAAATCCTAGGCCTGCTTCTGTTCTTTTCAAGTCAGACACATCATCATTGCTGTGATTCTGGACCGCAAATCCCAGAGATCTCAGGGGTAGCAGGAAGAGGAAGAGGAAGTGAACACACAACCCATGCTGGCTATATGACAGAAAGCCATGCACCAGGATTTCCTACCTTCTGGCCTGAGCCATGTGGCTGCAGGCATGTGGCTGCATTCCCTGAATAAAAAGTAAATGTGTGTCCAGTTGTTTCTCAATTTAATCGCTGCAGTTTAGACTAACCTGCAAAGACCAAATCGATTCAGCCTCAGGCTTTTTGACTGTCTGTACTTAGCCCTGGAGGACCCAACTGTGGAACTGGTGTAGTTAGTGCACTGTGAATTAATCTGCTCATTTACTATGCACTGATTTCCCCAGACAGACAAGCCCTTAGTCTCTCCAGCAAACTTGCATTAGCTTATTATCCATATCAAAGCACTTTTTAAGAAAGAGACAAAGTGTTTTAGATTTACTTAAAATCTGCTGTGTCAGCAGAAGTATAGCCCTTTACATTTTAGATGGACAGAAATTCAGCTCAGGTACTTGTCCTCCATACTTCTAATGAAAGGACAAGCTAAATGATTTCTCTCTCTGTCTGGCATTCTTTTCTGTGTTTTACTTGACACAGTTGAAGGTAAATTATAGATGGGATTGTTATGTCCCTCTGAAATCATAGGCCTGCTTCTGCTCTTTTCAAGTTAATTAGACACATCATCATTGATTCCTATTATGGCAAGCTGGGTACCATATCCCTGTTTACCACCATCTCTTTAACATTTAATTTTATTTTATAAATATTTTCATAATTATAATTAAATACAAACCTGTTTACCACCATTTCTAAATGCAGCATTCGTGATTCAGAAGCACAAACCTTATCAGCAATCAGAAATCAGATGCACATGAACATACAGGTTACAAGATAGGCAAAGTGCTGGTTTGAAACAACTTTTCTGCTGGCAACAATAGGAAGTTATTTTCTAGTAGTGCTCCCACCAAGTGTACAAAGCTCTGGAAATAAGCTACCTCATTTTTTTCTGATACAATAAGCTTGTTACTAGTGAATTAATCTAAAACATGTCACATAAAAGCCCAGGGGAACTTTGTATAATTTTGAGTCTATAAATTTGAGTAGAAAAAAGGTTAGATTGTTTATTCGTGTGTTGCATTGTAAGATGCCATTCACAGACAAATTCAATATGTCACACATATATCAGGTGGTTGTACAGACATTAGCAATCTCTCTCTGCATTTTGCACTGAACTGTATTATACTCTGTGGCAAATTAAATAATTAAAAGGGCATTTTAAGCTTATACAGTTCTCCATAGTATTTGCTTTGTTTGCCAAACCTGTTTGCACCTACATTGAGACCCAGTGATTTTCTTTTAATGAATCACAATAACTAATTCTCTCAAATGCTTAGTACTCATCTTAGATTTTTTTTTTCTTAACCCCCTCCCATACCTTATCTGTCTCTATTTAAGCAAAATATCCACAGAAATTTGGCAAACATCTGTAGTGGTGTCTTGCCATTTGCACTGATAACACTAGCCTAGTAGTATAAAGAAATCTTTAACTGAATACATATAATTTACACAGCTAAATTAATGTAAACTCTCCTTCCCTCAATTTAGAATCAGGCTCTGGCCCTTAATTCAAAATAGCTTCATAGCAAGCATGATGCTGTGGAAATAAACTATATGACCAGATCTAGATGTGCAGGCACATGCAGTTTGTGTGTATGTTGCACATTAAACTGCTAGTTCGCAGTGCTGGGGGGAAATTTGCTACTGGGATTTGCTACCATGAGAAAAAAAGCAAGATAGAGCACACCAAAATAAGCTGGGACAAAGGTAGAGATGGGGGAGCTAGCAGTGGAGAGAGACTCTCCTGTCTCTATGCTCGAAGTTCCCACACTGAGGCACCCTGCGCCCCAGCCAGCTCCCCAGTTGGGATGCGCTGTATCTTGAGACAGGACAGCAGGCAGCCCAGGGCTGGCTGCTCCCTTGTTTCCACATACCTCAGTGCAGGAGCTCCACAGCACACAAAGATAGGGGAGCAGGCAGCCCTCAACTGCCTGCTCTCCCATCTCCAAGTGTCGCTCCCTGGTTGACTGGGGCACAGGATGCTTCAGTGTGGGGGCTACCATCTGCCTAGACCTGCACTGAGGCACCCTGGGCCCCAGCCAGCCCCCCTGCAGCTGTGTCCTGCTGCAAACCACATGAGCAGGGGCGTGCGGTGCAACACAAAGTAGCAGCACAAATTTGTGCAGCTATTTGTGCTGCTGCAAACATGCCCCTGCTCATGTGGACATGGCATATATGTTTCATATTTTTATAGTTGTCAGGGGCTGGAAGGGACCTTACAGATCATCGGGTCCAGTGCCCCTGCACTTGGGCAGGAAAGACTGCTGGGATCTGATGACCCCCGCAAGATGGGCATCAAGATGCTTTTTGAAGATTGCATGTTAAATGATGCTTGGCAAAAAGTCTCAGTTTTACTACTGAGAAGAAGCTACAAATGCTGCTTCAAGTTAAAAAAAGTAAAAAGAAAGGGGAGGGGGTGGGAGAAGAATTTAAGAAGACACTTTGATGACATTTGCAAAATCAGATTTTGTGCAATCCCCTCTTGCACATTTCACTATAGCTCGCACTACATGTAGATGCTCTTGACACAATTCTGGCCATTCTTCCTATTTACAGAAATAATTATTTACCTTTTGTTACATTCTCTGTCATTTTAAAAGCCATTTTAGTAGCAAATATGCATTTTAATATAATCAAAACACTATGCCAGATATACTAAGAAGTGTAAAAAGGTCCTTGCTCTCAGCTTTCCCTTGACCCTCTCCAATATCAAGTTGCTTTTTTCCTATTAGAACAAAATGCACATGAAGTAAAGGAATGAGTAGCAATCCAGTGTGAAAAGCAGAGATGAAGATGCAGAGAACATGCAGAGAAAGGTGGCCACGTACAGTGAATTAGTATGCTTCTTGCGTTCCTG